TTAAATCTAGTGGAGCCGCTCGGCTCGACCATGAGGTACACCTGCATTGTCCCCAGGTGGGTGGACGGCAGCATCGTGTAAACCATGCCAATCACTAGCTTTGTGTTTTGTGCGGATGAACGGTAACGCGCGCGCGGGTGCATGTCTCTGCCGTATTCTAAGCGCCGACAGAGACAAATGACGATTCTATCCGCCGCAGAATTGCCACTGCTTCACACATTTGGGCGTACCTTGCGGAGCATCAGAGACCACCGCCGTCAACTCGGGCGCGAGAGGTAAATCGAATATGAATTTCGGTCCCCTCCCCCCTGGATCGCGTGTGGACGAACTCTTTGGAAAAAAAAAAACGCGGGGGACGCCTCTTAAGCCCCTGAGCCCCTTGGGAGAATAAGAAGCTAAAAAAAAAGTTTTTCGAGGGAGCACGACTTGCCGGATTGGGATAACCCAACAATATATAATATATTTTTTTGAAACTTGTTTTTTGAAAAAACCTGGCTTTTCACACACACGCGCGCGCGCGCGCACACACCCATGGGAAGGAGGAGTCCGCCGCTTGGCCTGGACGCTGGGACGCCCTGGAATGGGTCCGCACAGCACCGCATCGGTGGGGGGGGGGGGGGGTTTCACACGGGATCCTCCTGGCCAGGCCAGTCCAGCCATCGAGCTGCTGCTGCGGACGGAATATGGTACGGGGGGATCGGAAGCTTACCCAAGTGGGGGTGTGGGGCTTCCGAATCCTTTGCTATACGCGGCGCGCATCATCGCGCGCATCATCGCACCGGGCACGGCTCCTTACGGTCAGAGCAGAGGCCCCTTTGGGGGGACCGAAATCGCTCGCTCACCAGCGCCGCGTCCGTCCGTCAATCACTGGCCCACCGATCTCGAGGATTTTTTTTTTTACTGTTTTTCTTCTTGATCATCAACTCCCCCTCCTTCCCGCGGAGCAGGGAAAGCTAGAAATACATTACCAGGTTCAAAGTTTCCAGATGAGGATGGCGTGATTTCCGCCCTTCCCCGATGTTGTTGTTGATGCTTCCTTCTGGAACAAATGTTGTGCACCTTTACAGTCAGCCTTGGAGACACCACCACCTGGGATCCCAATGACTCAAAAGAAGCGATCAATACAATACACGCCGACTAGGCGCCGAGAAATGACGCCGAAAGCAGCTGACAGGTACTTAATTTGTTGGAGATATGAAGTCTTAGCTCTGTAATCACACAGTAATCTATTATAACCATCATAATCCCCTTCCCAATTTTGCGACATTATTCCCGTGCGAACTAGTACCCCTGAATGTGCTCCTCACCAGATCTGCAATTCAGTTGACCATCAGGGCTTTCGGAGCGCGCGAATGACAGGAACTCCCATGATCAAGGTGAGGGCAAGTATCGTTCGTGGGTAGGTCAGACGATGATACAGTCTTCTCTAAGGTTCAAATTGTACATCGTCTTATCAACAACCTTCTCGATTTTTTTCCAGTCACTGCGCCGCTGTATGAACTCATAAACGTCCTACAGGTGGAGGTGGACATGCGCTTCAAGTCGTGGCCTACATCGTCAAACGTGGTCAACTCACCTCAGGTCGATATGCCCCCCCATAACGGGTTACGTCACGGACGATTTGCGCGAGGTCCTTAGCGTCTTCCACGATGAACACATGGCCGAGCATTTTGAGGTTAGCAAAGTCGGATGTCAACGATGGAATCTACCGGGCACGTGTCAGAAGACTGCGTGCGCGGAAGATGAAGGCCGAATTAACCTTTAGCGAGGAAATGAAGGTATGGTAAGCGTTCAGATCAGCAATGACTTGAAACCCTCCGTTCAGCGAAATAATCTGGCGCTTGATATGTTTCTGCAAAATCCTGCATCCCAGAAAATGACGTGTCAATTGCAATAAAAAAAACGAGTTTATGGCTTGTTACCCGATCAGCCTCACGCCAACCTCACCCTCAAACACCTCCAGTACTTCTCGATTGACATTTCCTTGAAGAAGCCGTATGTGCTCCTCGAGACATTTTATTGCTTCCGTGCAACCTTTGGAAGGTCCGAGAAGGAGCGGAGCTTCTTCTGGCGGGTAGTAGGTCCGCGGGGGAGTAAGAGCCGTAATAATGTGATCCACCTGGAACAGTCTCCAGCCAGCTGGCCAAGGCAAAACTCAGAAATGCTGACCTGGTTCATGAGAACCTCGATGCCAGCGTTCAGTCCCTTCGCTACTGAATCATCAAGCAGGTTCTCGAAGCGTTTCTTTTCTCTTACAACCGGGTTCAAAAAATCAGTTAGATCAACGTGCGGGGCCTATCACGGCGGAATTGGGTGGGTTTGATGTCGACGCGGTGAACAGAGAGGTGGACAGCGTACCAGCTCTTTATCAAAGTATACTTGTACGATGCTCTGAATCATGTCTCCAATATGAACAAGCTCGAAAAATTGCACTAATGGCGCGACGGATGTCAACGCCGGTGCCGGTTTCTCCGTGTCCGAGACCGAATCAGAAAGTGCCGGAGGCTGATATGCCCGCATTTGCGTTATGGCCCTAATATCGCAGAACCGGGTGAGACGAGACCGTTCACGGCCGACAACACAACAACGCACACTTCGAATCCGTTTCGCACGTGTCGCTCACCAAGCACGCCTAGCAGCTCTCCCGCCACTTCTTCAATTGTCTCCCGAACCCGTGTGCCATAAGTCCCAGGATAATTGACAAATATCTCTAAACGCTTGAGCGATTCCCGCGCAGTGTGGATCAGGTCGAGAGTGACATCAAGGGAGAGAAGAAGTTGAAGATTATCGTAGGAATACAGGTGCGGGGGTTGTGGTGAGGATGAAGTAGTGGCAGGTCTCGCCGTGTCATTGTCTTGTTCGTCGGTGGCGTCAGGATGGTCTTCGTCTTCCCAGAGCACGACATTGGCATTGTCGGTTCCCTTGGTGTACCCCTCTCCCATAGCGGTCCCATTGACTTGCCCGGCTCCGCCCCACCGCCGCGGGTCGAGCATCGCAATGCCATGGACAGCAGCGCCCGAGACCGTCTCGACAGTGCGTGGGACAATGGAAACCGGAATGAGAAGGAGGTTGGTGAAAGTCGAAACAACATTGCTTTTGAGGCGGGCAGGGGAGGAAGAAGCAAGGAATGTAGGTTGTGTGGTTGTTAGCGACGGCGTCGCATCAGTATGGAGACTCGTCTGCGTGTATTGAGTATCTAAGTTGAGCTCAGGAGACTGAGCACGAAGGTTTGGGTGGAAAGACGATACCTTTTTCTCCCATTCTTTGCAGCTTTGTTCGAAGGTTTGTTTCAGGGAATCTATCTCTTCATCAAGGTACTCGTCCATGTTGGGTTCGAACATCCTATACCTGCCATGCGGAGCAAAATTCAACATGTAAGCATCGGATCGACCGTGGCACGTATCAGGAGTGAAAAGGAGGAAATAAACACGAATGTGTTCGGAATGAAGGCTGATGAGAAGGCACGCACACGACGTCCTCTGCCTGTGCCTTGCTGACTTCTTCCTCCGCGCTAGGCTGATCCAGTTGGCTAGCAAGTTCGAGAACGGTGTCTACGATGCGCCAAGCTTCCCGAAAACAGGCAGCAGTTGCTTTCAAGAACAAGGCACCATTCTCCAGAGAGCGGGCGTGCGTGAGAAGAGGCGTAATATATTCAGAAACCTACAAAATCCAAGGGCTGAGCGGGGACGTGGTGCAGTAACGAGGTTAAACGACGTACTACTTCCATCGCAATGCGATCTGCGAATGACACAAGAACGCCTGCAGCAGGAGGGAAGACGCGTACGGCGCGGGAGCCATGCTCTCGAAGCGCGTCTAGCACAAAGCCCATGAAGGCGTCCATTGGTTCGAAATTCAAAGTGCCCTCAGCCCTATTTGTCGTTATTCTACAGCCTCATGCAGCGAGGAGAGCGAATGCATAACATACGTGAAATTGTCGAGGGTTTTGTGCGCACTCGTGACATAGAAAATTTCCCGTTTCTCACCCCACATGCGTCCCATTTCCCATTCCGCGACTGCCCCGCTTCCGATTTCATGCGGATCCCAGATTTCCCAACTCGCTTCAGCGGCCTCGCGCATGCCAGCCTCATCGGCCCGGCCGTCCGCAATGTCGAAGGCACTGAGCAAGGTAGCATCAAACCGGTCAGTGGCAGCACGGAGGGCGGACAGCAGGGATGGTGACGATCGGAGGGGTTCAAGAAGAGAATGGAACCGATGAAGAAGATGGAGAGTCTTGGAGCGGTGTAACAAGGTGAGGGAAGAGGTCGATACGGTCGTGGGTGGGAAAAGGGAAGAGAGAATCTGGTGGGGGGGTTCAAGTAACGCTGGGGCAAGGTTTCTCAGAAGTGTATGCGCGCGTATGTAGAGAGCGCGGAACGAAGTAGCGCCGAGGACATTGGTACCTTGCATCGCCGTGCTACCGCCGATAAAGTTCCCCACTTCGGCTGACGACGTAGAGAATCTGCTCTGTGTTGGGGGCCCCCCAAAGGCCAAACCAAAGGTGTCCGACCCAGACGCAAAGTCTCCAAAGTCATCATCTGCAACGTCCACGGTAAGTGTGGGAGGTTGCTCTGCCACCTCCTTGCGCGCCCGATTCTCCAATTCATCCAGTACTGGTCCAAACCCATATCGGTCGATGCCTAAGAGAGAATAGTGGTGCTTCCAGAGCTCTTCGGAGACGGCAAGGCGAGCGAGGGCACGGTTTGTACGCGCATAGGCTGGGACATCCGGTACCGGGATGTACTGCAGAACAACCAAGTGAAGCGAGGACGGAAGTTTTCCAATATGGGGCGTCGAAGCAGCCCTGGATGCAAATTTTTGCCAGCTATTTGTAGAGTTCTGGTGGAGTTTGACCGGTTCAAGGGCCTTGAACTTGTCCATTTTTGATGTTCACAACTTCATACTGAGGCTCAAGCGATGGCGCTAACGTAACGAGAGCCGATCCCCTTACCTTTCTGGTATGGCACCCGATCAAAATTATCACAATCAGTGCCATCACTAATGGCCCAATGGTCTAGTGGTACGATGCTCGCTTTGGGTCTCTGTGTTGAGGTTAACACTTTGCGAGCGGTCCTGGGTTCGAACCCCAGTTGGGCCCAGCTTTTTTCCCCGGATGATCCCAGCTCCCGTAATTACTGCCATACATGAATGAAACTTTTGTTCATTTTTTGCTGCCACCACTGCCACTTCACAGCCCAGGATGGCTCTCGAAAACTCAATACACACTAGCGTGCATGTGTTACTCAAAGCACTCCGATTCGGTGTTGTACAACATCTACGCGTCATACAACCGCGTGAATTGTCCCAACCAGACTAAGACCACAGGAGACCTCTCGATCTACAAAGCAAAGCTCCCATCGAGTTGAGCAGGGGTGCTATTTACCTGGTCAGGGAGAGACAGGAGCCAGCGGTCAATGTGGAACTCCTCAAACATGAAAGAACGAGGGTCTCGAAAGAGGCCTCACATGGACTGGCCCTTCTTACATGCTCCGAAGTGAAGGTGGCTTACAAATCGGGACAAGCTCCAGGGGCACGCACGACTAGCGTGTAATGGGGGTTACGCTTGTCGTCACAGTAATCCGCCTCCGCCAGTCAGATCATCAGATTCAGATCATCAGATCACCACCCCGAAGGAAGGTGATGGACCGATAGGGTACACACCGAAGATGAGATGAGATCTAGATGTATACGCATACCCCTCAAGAGGACGCCAGATCAGCATCAAGTCATGCTAAAGTGGCACTCCGAACACCTATGGAAGGAGTATTAGGGGTAAAGAACAAATTGAAGAACTGCAGTGGAGAAGACAAAGACAGGGGAGAGAGGGGGAGATGGAGTCGCGATCAAGGGGGATATTCACCGAGGTGATTCCTGTGCGTCCACCTCCATGTACCAATATATCAAAAACACCGGGGGGCAAATCAGCTGTGTGAAAGGAGGTAGCCAATGGTGACGAAGGCGAAATCAGAGAAGGCGCTCAGAACCAATGTTTGGCGAGATGTAAGAACGCCGTGAAATCATACACTCACCCGACGTGGCTGATAGCAATGACCACCTCTAGAATCCCGGTTATGTTTTGAGATAGCCCCGACGGTACGTAATTCTTGGGTCAACGGGCTTGTCAGTACTGCCATACCTAACCGACTGGCCAAATTCACTTTAAAGATTGTGACTTGACTCTTTCAGCCCCAGGAAGATGGGAAACGTTCAAAAGTACGAGAGTGGGCTTGTTTTCCCCGACCTCTGGTAGTAGTAATTGTTTGTTAAATTACACGGAGGGACCTACGATCCACGTCCGATTAGTGATCAACTACTGGTACGGCACAACGGCTCACTTCTTATACTGTATTGAATTGGGAGCCCCATGAGCTGATGATTGGGTTTGATAGAAGTGTCTTCTGATCTTGTCCTTGCGTGTACATTCGTGTTCCCTGTCTATTGGATGGCCAACCGAGCATCATGAGTCATGATGAGCCGAGTCGACGACAGCACTGTAGTCCATTTCTCAACAATCGTTCAGGATCCTACTTTCCCGCCATGGGATATTTGACATCTCGTCTCATAGCTACAATCTTGAGCGAAGAAGAACTGAATGCTGCTATAAAGTTGGCTGGGGTTGTGGGGAGCATTCTGCCTGTGATTCCATCTATTTTTGGTTTGGTGAACAGGGTTCACAATGAACGTTTGTATAGGCCTCAATGACGTTAACATTGCAAGTCAGTTACACGACTACAGCTTGATCTCTCGTATCCCGTCCTTATCAACGATCTTTACAATATAGTCACCTGGAGCAACTACCAAACGCTGTGCGGTCTCATTTATCGCCCGTCGGAGGACGTCAAGGCCCTCTTCCAATGAACCGTCGGGATTGTGGTATCTGAATTGTTACGCTCAATTAGCCACCGATAGAGCCCTCAAAAACAAGGGGAGGGCGTTGGACCTAGATCCCGTACACAGATAGAGAGATGCCCCAAATGGTTTACTCACCGGTCTAATAGGCCAAGTGCGAAATAGCTCCCATACCCATGGGCGGCAAAAGGCACAGAGGCCATGGTACCGAGATAGTCGACCCAGTACAGGTGTGGTAACTTTTCTGCCAAGTCAAATCCTCCAATGAGCAAGTTGACTGTGTATGGAGAGCGCGAGCGCAGTGAGTCTGCCAGCGACCGACGGATCCACGAAGCGGCAGACTTTGGACGGAGTGGGTAGAGATTGCGGATGTGGTAGAGTCTGATGTTTCGCTCTATATATTCGGCAAACTGGATGGTATCACCTATGCGAACAGATGTAGGTGAGACGTTGAGACTACAGTGCTTGGAATGTTGGTGCGAACCTGACTCTCCAGAGTAAGCCATGAGAAGATGGGGGCTGAGAGTCTTGATCTTGTCCTCGTCGACTTTCATTTTCACGATAGAGCGTGCTGCCGTAGTGTCTGCGGCAATGAGAACATAGTCCTTTCCTGTAAGCGCGAATGAACACTCCATGGTGGTTGCGTTATCTCGTTCTTGCTCTCTCGAGGGACGCGTACGCTCACGCTCCAGCCTCACTCACGTGCGGGTGGTCAGTTTGATTACGTAACACGCATTCAGTAACTTAAAATGAAAGTGAGTTGAAGCCGCCAAAACACTCAGGCTGAACCATCCAATCCACGCGTCGATTCTAACTTTCATCAATTTCACCTGACCCATTCCTATTGGCTCGCAGGGGTAACGTCATGAAGACCTTCACATCCATGAAGGATATTGGAACGATGTGTCTTCTCTCCATGTCGGCCTTATGGCAGGAGAAAACGAGTTCCGATTGCGGGTACTATGTCACACAAGTAACTGCAGTCCGCATATCGTCATTCAATCATCGGTAGCGATCTGACACGATGCGCAACGTAAGTGTCCGGACTTTTTGAGATTGAAAGTGGGATCTGTTGGTTCAAGTCTATTCCCTTATGCCGTGTCAGATATACTCTAGTTCCACATGTCTTGACTCCCAGGAAAGTGCTTCCCAGACGTGGACTTGAGAGTTGTTTCGCGAAACGCAGAACGACGAAACCCAGCTAGACATACTGCCAGTATGCATGACGGCTCGGTGTGCAGGACAAGGAAGGGTCTCAGGCTCGTACGGTGCCGTGCATTCCGCGAATTCGATGGGTAACGTAGGGAGAAGAGACGCTCACAGGCCATTTCACTGAAGTCAACTCCCAACGCGGGGTTTGAGTGTGAAGTATATACGTTAGTCTTCCAATCAGAAGCCATTTTAATTCTCTCCTATCAATTCTTGTCACTTGGCCTTGGAGAATGTGGGAAATAATAATGAAATGCAATTACGAACTAGAAACGACAGACTAATTGAATGACTAGATCTGACTACTGGGTCACTCATGCGGATATCGATAAGTGAGCGAGTGTGAGACCGACCCAGCAGTGAGCTATTTACCGACTAATAATTACATACGGGTAGATGTTTCAGACGATGCTTTGCACGTTGTTCGCTTGTGTCCATCCTGGAGAAGAATGTCTTTCATTGGTTGCTACATACATGTATACACAGATAGGTCCCTGTCCGGTTGTGTCGCCATCTATACCGCCATCTCATAAGATGTCATGAATCAGACAATAACTTGCACAGAGGCACCAGATGTGCCTCACAGATGGCAGAGAAGTAGAACTCGTGCTCTGAATTATGTGGATGAACAAGGTTGTGGGCAATCTCGTGCGCAAGTGTGAAGTACCTAAAGGAAACCATCAGCCAGAGGGTAAGTGAGAAACACTAGGAACAACACGTACCAGGAGATGAAGGCCTTGCCAAAGTCACCTTGTTGGACATCATGGTCGTCTGGTTTTTCCAGCTAAGATGGAACGTCGGAGAAGCATAAAAACCGAGGACGTACGCCAGGCTTCGTAATATCGTAAATTTACGAATAGACTTCCGCCTCTATTGAATGCGACAAGCTGCCCTTCCTTGTCAGAGAAAATGTGCAAGCTTGTCTGCGGAATCTTGTAGACTGATACGAGAGGGAGGAGGACATGAAGGAAGCGGGCGACTGAATCGTGTTTGCGTTGGATGAGCGACTCGCGCTCGGGAAGATCTACAATAAGGGAATTGGCGCTGAGTTTCTGACTTCGAATTGGACAAGGGGATCCAACCTTGCGCTGCGAAAACCTTCACACCACCCATGCTGCCTGTGGATTTGGTGTTGATAAGGGGATAAGAAAATCACACGACAAAGCAGAACACATGCCGACAAGGTCCAGGTCCCCTGACCGACCAGAAATATCGCAGTATCCTTCGTCCAGCGATTCTTTCACAATTTGCATCTCCTCCCGGTTCCTGAGTAGACTGCTTCTCTCAGGCGCGCAAGCTTTGATGGCCATGTCGATATTGTTGGCTAGGTGAGATGGAGCATGAGATGGAACCCGATATATCAGACTCGCTTAACGTACAGATGTTACTCAACGGAGTGATATTAGAGCCCTGGTGGGGAGAGCGGACTAGTGCCCTTGAAGGTCCTCGGTTTGCCGACAAGGAAGTCCCTCCGGGCATATTCGGATTCGGTGGTGGCGAGACATCTTTGTTGGAAGGGCCTGGATTTGATGACGGCAACTCGTCTTCGCTTCTTGAGGGGAAGTCGGTCGGTGTGAGAGGCTTCCGAACGATTCGGGCGCAGAAAGCGCCCAAGCTCATTGATTACTGACGTCCGGCGGTTCAACATTTTCTCAAGGCCACCAGTCCCAGTACTTGCTGCCGGGGACCGCGCTGCTATCGCCGGGCCGGTTGGAGTGGACGGGATCTTCGTTTGCGTGGTCGGAATCTTCGTCTGTGTATCTTGTACCGTCACCTCTGATGAGTTCGAGATTAATGATGCCCTTGTTTCCTTAACGCCTTCTCAGCCGCTTCACGCTCAGCCTTTTGCTGTCGTAGAATCCTGTCAACTGGCAAACAAGTCAGCCGCTTGAGGGATATGAAAAGCAGTATCAAGGAAGCACCATTATATCCTCGTCGTTTAAGGGCCTTCAGGTCCGTCGACAGGATAGTCATGAATAATAGGGCATCGTTGACCTTGGGCGACTCGAAAATGAAACGGCATAATGAGGTCGAAACCCT